CTCACACACACTCACTCTCACACACACACTCACACACACACACTTACACACACACACACATTTACACACTCACACACACACATTTACACACACTCACACAGACACTCTCACACACTCTCTCTCTCTCTCACACACACACTCTCACTCACTCACACACATACTCTCTCTGTCTCTCACACACACACTCTCTCTCTCTCTCACACACACACTCTCACTCTCTCTCACACACGCACTCTCTCTCTCTCACACACACACTCACTCTCTCACACACCCGCGCTCTCTCTCTCTCACACACACACTCACTCTCTCACACACCCGCGCTCTCTCTCTCTCACACACACACTCACTCTCTCACACACCCGCGCTCTCTCTCTCTCACACACACACTCACTCTCTCACACACCCGCGCTCTCTCTCTCTCACACACACACTCACTCTCTCACACACCCGCGCTCTCTCTCTCTCACACACACACTCACTCTCTCACACACCCGCGCTCTCTCTCTCTCACACACACACTCACTCTCTCACACACCCGCGCTCTCTCTCTCTCACACACACACTCACTCTCTCACACACCCGCGCTCTCTCTCTCTCACACACACACTCACTCTCTCACACACCCGCGCTCTCTCTCTCTCACACACACACTCACTCTCTCACACACCCGCGCTCTCTCTCTCTCACACACACACTCACACGTGCACTCACTCTCACTCTCACACACACACGCACTCTCTCTCTCTCACACACACACTCACACGTGCACTCACTCTCAGTCTCACACGCACTCTCTCTCTCTCACACACACACTCACACACCCGCACTCACTCTCACTCACTCACTCACACACACGCACATTCTCTCTCACACACACGCACACTCACACACACGCACTCTCTCTCACACACACACACACTCGCGCACCTGGTGCCTGAAGTTGTTCCCGCACTGCTGGCAGGTGAAGGGCCGCTCTCCGAAGTGAACGCTGATGTGCTTCTTCAGGTCTCCCTTGCGCGTGAAGCTCCGGTCGCACTGCGAGCAGGTGAAGGGCTTCTCTCCGTCGTGGATCAGCAGGTGATTCTGGAGGTTGATCTTCTGCGTGTAGCTCTTCCCGCACTGCAGACACGAGTACGGCCGCTCGCTGTGAATCCCCATGTGATCCTTCAGGTCTGCTTTACGCTTGTAGCTCTCTCCGCAGAGCAGGCAGGGGAAGGACTTCTTGGCTCTCTTCTCCATCTGCGGAGCTGCCAAACTGTGAGGATCCTCGTCCTTGTCCTTCTGGCCGTGACTTTTCGCTTCTGTAGGTAGAAATCAATCAGAGAGTAAGACTATAGTGAAAGAAGACACACGAATGAACCTCAATGAAACCTCCCAACCTGTGTGTTGCTGGGTTTCTTCTTTGACTCTGACCGGCTGCAGATCAGTCAGATGCACACTCTCCACTTTAATGAGCTCCATCCTCACAGTCCTGCTGATTCTGCTGATCCTGCTGATTCTGCTGATCCTGCTGATTCTGCTGATCGTGCTGATCCTGCTATTGCTGCTGATGCTGCTGATGCTGCTGATCCTGCTGATGCTGCTGATCCTGCTCATGCTGCTGATCCTGCTGATCCTGCTGATGCTGCTGATCCTGCTTATCCTGCTGATGCTGCTGATCCTGCTGATGCTGCTGATCCTGCTGATCCTGCTGATGCTGCTGATCCTGCTGATTCTGCTGATCCTGCTATTGCTGCTGATGCTGCTGATCCTGCTGATGCTGCTGATCTTGCTATTGCTGCTGATTCTGCTGATCGTGCTGATCCTGCTATTGCTGCTGATTCTGCTGATCCTGCTGATGCTGCTGATCCTGCTGATCGTGCTGATCCTGCTATTGCTGTTGATCCTGCTGATGCTGCTGATC